ATTAACAATGTGCCTCTCCCACTTCTATGATATTCTCTATTACTTTCTTACAGAGATAGTCAATGATCCTAGTCATGGTTCATCTTTTCTCGTGCCTTTTTCCATTTAGAGTGCCCTTTCTCTCCCTTTTCCTCTACTAATGGCCTTGATTCCAATTCCATCTCCTCCATGAGATCTCCACCATTGAGACCATTAGAAGTCTTTCACACCTTTGAATTTCATTTTGCTGTTGTAATGGGGCATTTTTGACACTGTACCAAAAATCTTATTGTCAGTTATCTTTTTGTTTATGCCCCGTTTCATCTGGATAGTAAATTCAAATTCCTGTACCTCTATAGGTCTGAGTATTAAATAACATGTTGAAGAGATTCTCAGTGAGTATTCTGGTACAAATTTAGCACTAGTCAGTCACCTAGGAGAGACTTTATTTGAAGCATTGCTGACTAATTGAAAATTTAGTAGACAAAATTGAAATGGTCTGCTAGCCAGCATGACTCAATGGGCATTGAAATTAATGAAAAGAAAATGTCTCTACCAAGTGACTCATAACTGGAAATAATTCTAGAAACAGTTCTATGACACCTTTCTTTCCCCCTTTTCTGTGAGTCTCCTAACATATGTACTTACAGTATTGACCATGGACCTCCTTGATCTTGTTTTTGACAAGCATTCTAACAATGGAACAATTTTCAGTTTTTTGATTTATTCAATCTAGATTGCATATTTCTTGTTGATCAGTTACTTAGGACTGTATATGAATCATTTGAACTACGTACTATTTGGTTCTGGGATGAAAGCTTGATTCTTCCAGCTTATTGCTGACTCACCATATGTTATAATTCCAGAAAGTTGTGAAAAGTGTGGTATTGTTGAAGCAAAAAGTTGTATTGGACTGATGTTTTAATAATACTTACACTTATAGTGTAATTAATTTATATACCTAGACATCCTGCAAGATACTTTAAATAAATTATGGAAGATCTATAAGGTAGTTATTATTTACCCTATTTTACATATGAAATAAGTCTGAGAAACATAAGGTACCTTTCTTAAAGGTCAAATATTTAGTAAATAGCACTGCTAGAACATAAGCCCTGAAAGGAAGGGACTTTGTTTTGTTCCCTGCTGTAGTCCCAACACTTAGAATAGTGACTAGAGTTCAGGTATTTGTTAAATGAATCCAATTTCTCTTCTCTCATTCTCTCTTGAACTCTATCTTTAAATTATCAATCTCATAACTCCAATCAAAAGCTATTCTTATTGATGTTAATGATGACCCCACTGTTGCTAACTCACAAAGATCCATTCTCATTCTTTTCTAATTTGACCTAATTAATTAATTAACAGAGCAAAAAGACAACCTACAGAGTAGGAAAAAATATTTGAAAACTATGCATTTAACAAAGTATTGATATCCAGAATATAAAAAGAACTCAAATAACTTTGCAGTGGAAAAACAAACAACCCAATTAAAAAATCAGTTACCAAAGGAGCTGAACAGACATTTCTAAAAGGAAGATATGTGAACGGCCAACAGACACATAAAAAAATGCTCAACATCACTAACCAACAGGGAAATGCAAATCAAAAGCACTCTGAGATATCATTTCACCCCAGTTAGACTGGCTGTTATC